AGGCCCGCACGGCTGCTGTCTGCAGTAGACTTGCAGTCTTGCGCCGCTACTTCCGCAGCCTGGACTTCCTCTTCCAAGCTGTTCAGGAGTTCCGCGTCATACGAGGAGAGATGGTATGACGCACCCTCACACACCCCGAGCGAGGGCGGACCGCGTGGTGCACTTGCCGCCCCCCCTACCTCGGGCCGGCCATCTGATGCACCCCCACCCTCCCTGAAGGCATGTATTGCGATCAAGGTGCGCCTCCAGAGCTTTCGCAAGGCTGCGGCCAGCTTCACGACGTCATCCAGTGTCTGATTTAAACTGGCGGCGGTGAAGCTGCTACCGACACATGCTCGCGCCGTTTTCTTCCCGCTTTTTTTACTGGCGCCGGGGCCGCCGGCGCCGCCGCCGTGCGTCGCGAACAGGTTCGCCGTGGCAGCGACGACCCGCGTTCCGGTGGTGTCTCCCTCCACCGCCGCCCCTGCAGCCGCAACCCCTACCCCCTCTCCAAGCTCCTCGGCCGCAACCCCTCCCCCCTCTCGAAGCGCCGGAATATCAAAGATGTCAGGCTGGGGGGCGATCGTCTTCCTCGGTTCTTCGAGGGCCACGATCTTTTCGGCACCGCTGCACTCCGGACTACAGTATTGGTGGTTGCCTGTGCAATCAAGCGACAGCGTGGTAAAAGCAGAGAGAAATGGGTTGCTTATCAAAACGGCAATCGTGATATTCACAGGGTTAGGAGCACGATCGCCCTAATCTATCCAAAAGGACGAAGCTAGACCCACGTGCGAAATCGCAGGACTCGCAGGATTCTACAACATTGTACCTTTGAGGTGGAAGACAAGGTGTGCGAAGCCCTCCACGAAGGCCTCCGCGCGAGAGGTGCTGCCGTCCTCACATTTCTCCTCTTCCTTCCTTGACGCCGCGACGCAATAAGCGAAGTTCCTCGATACACGGGGAGCGAATCCAGGCAAGAACTTTACGATGGCCTTCACCAGGTTCTTCTGCTTGTCCAGAAGTATGCAACCAGGCGAAACACGCGAAAGAGGTGTTGCATGAGGTTATTTTGTCTCTTCACTCTCGTCCGTACAGAAAAATATCTTCCGGTTCGTGCAGTTGTGCATAAACCATACATACCACTAAATAACACGGAAACACATACCTGAACATGCGAGCGGTCCAAGCACTCCCAGGCGTCGTTCGTCACTTGTCGCACCAGTAGCCCCAGTCCGACGTCCTGGTCGTGCGCGAACATCGTGGGCAACCAACCCTCGAGCAGCTGAGTAAGTAACAGCACCTGCACCCCCACAGATTCCGTAAACTCCCAGGCGTCGTTCGTCACTTGTCGCACCAGTAGCCCCAGTCCGACGTCCTGGTCGTGCGCGAACATCGTGGGCAACCAACCCTCGAGCAGCTGAGTAAGTAACAGCACCTGCACCCCCACAGATTCCGTACCGGGCGCGCTGTGGGGGCTGGTCAGGCACGTACCCGAGTAGCAGTTGGAATTGCGCAGTCGCTGAGCGGCCTCTCTCACAGATGCTGAGGCAGTCGCAGGCGGGTGTGCGCGTTCCTTGAAGTCCTGCGCGTCGCCGTGGACTGGGCAACGTCCTTGGCGACTCGTGACACACACTGGGTCGATCTGAAGGCTCTTGCCGACGTGGCGTCCAAACGTCACCATACCAAAGACGGCGTCCCGAAGGCCTCGGTTGTTTTGCTCGCGGAGTTTCAAAGAACAGACGACGTTGATGCTGTGTGCGGTATGGTTGCGATTGCGGTACGACCCATCGAACGCAACCTGGCAGGACAGTGACACGCGTGACACGAGAGATGGACACGGATACGTAGGAATTTCGGGGGGTTGAACGCGGTCAGAACGTGGGGGGAAGAAAGTGCAGTGTGGCTACATTTCCAAGAACCGTAAAATGTACAGGTCAATGCCAGGTCTCTCCCGTGCGCGTACCTCCAACGGTGTCACCACCACGACATCTCCTTCCACTTTGTACCCTGGCTCCTCGCCACGGTCCTCCATACTCCTCAACAGGCCAACGGCGATATCGGTCCAAGTCGTGTTGCTGATGTGGCCCTCCTGCGTAGCGGGGGAAAGATAATGCGCTGGGGTTGATGTGCTTGCTGGGGGTTGTAGACGAGGCTTACAGCGAAGCAGTATCTGTATCAAGAAGCTAACGAGTGCATCAAGCAGGCTTACCTTGATAGGGCCCTGCTCCTTGGCGAGCTCCTTCAGCCTTGTCTCGTTGTGGGCGAAATAGTGCTTCTCTATGGGGACCCTAATGACCCCCCGCCCGGGCTCCTGCTTCAGGCCCTCCCGGTGCTTCTTCATCTCTCTCGAGAACACGACGTCAACTGCCACGGATATTTCTGTCAAGTAGCGATACAAGGTCCTCTTCGAAGGAGCCTGCCAGTCGCTGAGCGCGTTACAGTTGACATACTGGTCGACGTTTCCCCCCGCCAACAAGACACCGAGAGCGACGGACTTCACGTTCGGCTTAGACACGGGTACGTGGCCGAAAATCGCACCACACTCACGGCAACCAGCGGAAAAGGCGTCGTAATCAGACCTAGGCTTGCTCAGCACCGCATTAATCAACGGACCCGGACACCCCACGTCGACTCTGTGGATGTGCCCACACATCCTCAGCAACCCCGCTACTGAGACAGACACGCCACGGTGATTTATGGCCCCTGCTTCAGCCGGCGAGGGGCTGCGGTAGTTTCGCTCGTTCCTGGATTGAGACAGCGTACTGGCGACACAGCGACAAAGACAGAAAAACAAAATCACTGTTCAATCGCAAGTCGCCACACTATATGCGAAACCGCTGGGTACCCTACCCTAACTCCTTTCGTCCCCAAAGCGTGAAGGACAGCTCTACTGTTACTGTTGTAGGGACATCACGCGAAGTGCCATGAACGCGGCGATTACACATACCTGTCCGTGCCCCCTCTAGACGACGGCCCGCTCCCGCCCGACCGGGTCCTCACTCCTCCTGCGGAACATCGTGTCGAATCACCGTCAGCTAACCCCCACACCGGCCCCACCACACCGCCTGCTGCAGGGGTCTCCAGCGCCTCTGAAAAGCTCCCATTGCTTTCGCCCATCGCCTCCCCACCCGATCGATCGCACGGCGGAGGTGGGCTTTTCGCGTAAGCACCCACCCCCAGCCCCAGCCCCAGCCCTTCCCTGCTGGCCCGTCTCGCACCCACACACCCTGTCTCCCTAACAGGGCATGCATGCCCTAACATCTCCACGACAGCGTCCTCCAAGCTCCAAACCGTCCCTCTGTCTCTGCGCCGTGGCAGAGTCTCGCCTACGTGGACTGCTCCGCATTCGCACTGAAACGCTAACCCCACCTCCGGAGTAACCCCTGGGTAAAGAAATGGGGATGCTACACTCTCAAGCCGAACGTAAGTCCAGCCCCCTAGCCGCACAAATAAATCGCAGCGGCGGCATGAGATTTGCTCTTGAACATCCTGGAGGAACTCCGCTGTTTGCTGCAAAAAAACGGTCGGGAGGATACCCCCTGGCAGCACCGACGGACCGACCGACTGAAGGTTACTAAGCCCAGAACTAGCAAGGAGGATTTGTGCGAGATGGTGTGGAAGAAGAGGCGGAGACACGGGAGGGGGGGGGGCGTAGGGGCTTAGCAAAAATGGGGCGATGTAAATTTATCGATGCAATAGCCCTTTCTAGAAATAAAGTATGAACAAGGGGGGGGGGCGTAGGGGCTTAGCAAAAATGGGGCGATGTAAATTTATCGATGCAATAGCCCTTTCTAGAAATAAAGTATGAACAACACTACGCAGCAGTTGTGAAGTGTTTGTTGGCTGCATGCCTAGTATCCGAAATATCACAACGGGCGCTTACAGGTATGGTCCCTTCGACTCTGCGCTCATGACGTGTTGGAGATGTTCGGTCTGCCTCAACGTCATCTGGATAGGCCCCACTCCCAGCAAACACCAATGCGGATAGCCACGAAACGTCCGCACGAGAACTCCGTGAGCTCGCAGGAACATGGTGTAGCCTTCGCTCCGCTTTCGTCTGTCTCCAACCCTCAAGATTCGCCGTAACTCCTTCGGGTCTTCGTCGATTAGATTCTGAAGTTCCTCGGTAGACAAGTAATTGTTGTGCGTGTTCGTCCAACAGACCGCCTGAAACACCCGATTCCCCGCGATAGTCTCGCTGTGCAACACGACGGAGGTTTGTGAGATCGAAAGTACGGGCGTATAATTAGCTCCATATATTATCTGCAGTGCTGAAGCGAGTGTGACCACAACCTCACGTGAAGCGTCCGGGACGAAAGATGCACTACCTGGAAACAACGACCTCAGTAGTGGAAAGCCAACCAATCGCAACAAACACGTTAGACTGCTGTTTATTGGCGCCTGCCTGTTGTACGTTACGACCTCTATTTTTTCTATGTAACAAGCGGCGACCGAGCAATCTCCCTTAGATTTCATGAGGAATGGAAACAGCACCGTCTTCTTGTGCACGCGGACAACCCAACGTTTTACGTGTGCCACGCGCCCCTTTCAAACTCCACGTGGACATCGTACCTCCATTCCATCGGATCTGGGTGTGGATCTCCACGTAGTAGCTCGTTCCTATCCGAAGGAATCGCGCCACCGTCGCCACCGTCGCCACCCTGCCCGATGTCGCGAACGTCGGTGGGATCCATCACGTCCGACCCATGACTGGATAACGCATCGCCACACTCCTCCATCTCCTTGTCGTCCGCATCCTGCTGCACACCCTTGTCGCCACCCTCGCCACCCTCTACGACAACATCAGAACATGGGCTAGCCAGCTCGCCGTCTATAGTACCACCACCGTCGGATTTTCCTCTCTCGCTCTGGGGGGAGTCAGGCCCTGCTTCCCGATTGGATGACCCGGCACCGCTTTGCCCCTTGCTCCGAACGACTTCGGGTTCACGTATGTCATTGTATTTGAACGATCCCCAAAAGGGCTTTGGGCCCCCCTCCATCCCAGTTACGGCGACACAACTTTCATTGAAGTGCATCCCCGCCTTCCCTAACTCCACTTCAGCGTTAGACAGAGGTGTGTTGCGCCTCGTGCTGCCCCGCTGTTCGGGCTGGTTCGATTTTAGGAACTGTTGAATGGCGCCAACATGCCAGCCAAGTAGGTTTTCGACTCTACCGTGCTTTAGCCAACCCTGAGACGGTTCAATTGACCTCAACCCTCCTTCGAGTTCGACATGAGTCAAAGGTTGTTGAGCCGTTGTAGGCTCGTTGCTCATTTGGACCTGGAGACAACAAATTGAACGCGCGCGAGACCGCCTGTGAGCACAAACATGTTTCGTACACCACGTACTACGTATACATCTGCTGTATGTATATATACTGCGCCACTAGTACAATAAAATGTTCATTTTGTAATGCTTTGGGGTGTCAAGTACGCGGCTGAGTCACTACGCGGACCAGGAGCCTAAGGCCACGGCGCGTACACGAAAACAGGGGCCGCTGGGGCTTATCTGGCGTCCTGTTATTCCTGTCTTTTATTTCCACTCTAAAACCCTATTAATAAGGAGATTTACAGCAGTAGATCTGGCTTATTTTGTAAACGCTGTCTCTTCGTCGTTTTTGAGAGGATAAGCGTTTTCAGACCATCGTATGAAAGCTATTGATCAGCGCCGTCGTTTGGTGGCGTCGAAAAAAAAAAGTAGAACGATGGTGTCTGTTAAAAACGCCTATATGTGCGTAAAAAACGACACTTTCGGGAGCCAGTACTCTGTTCCGGATGTTTTTTTTATTCGGTAACCAATCGAAGCAAAACCTCGCTCGGCTGTTGACCAGGCATAGGTACACCCATACCAGTTGCCGTTTGGGCGTTCTTTTGTGTGTGGTACATTCCCGGGTGGCTAAACCACCTCGTTTGACCCCATTTTGACCAAATGGACGGCTCATTTTGAGTCTGTGAGCAAACACCGACGCCAACACACATTCGGAATCCCGGGTGGCTAAACCACCTCGTTTGACCCCATTTTGACCAAATGGACGGCTCATTTTGAGTCTGTGAGCAAACACCGACGCCAACACACATTCGGATTTCTGCTGCCGAACTAAGGTTGGGGAACCCATAGAGCTCACACTCATGTCCCGAGATTGCTTAACTTTCCACTACACATCTTAGTTGCACCGGTGCGCTGTGCTGTAGATTCGCGCTGTTGCGGATTCCGCCGCATTTTAGCTGCTGTCTCAGTCACCAGCCACGACTACTCTCTACATCGTAAACGTTGGGGCGTCACACTTCATAAATCTCCTGGCACGCATATTTCCTGTGGATCTCACCGGTCTGATGTGTGTGCACGTGCTTCTTCCTCTCCTTGGGGTGAACAGGAACACAGGCGGTGTGATCATGTTTATTTTCAAAAAGGGGGTTTCCAATGCAGTCTAAAACCAACATACACCCCCAAATCTGAACCGGAACATCGGTTGTCAGGGCCCCCTTAAGGTTAAGGAACGCGGTAACGCGGTGGCTCCCGGGTCTTCGCAGACTGCAGTTTGAAGAGGTGGCAACGTCTCATTTTACGGCCTCGGCGCCCCCAGCTGCTCGCGATGGCTACGACTGCAGCAGTCCCTGAGAAACAGACACACGATGAGGCCGCTGTGTGTCCTCCTTCTGGGCGGAACGTACCACCCACGCGTGTCGAGTTTTCTACCTCCACCCGCACCGTCGATTTCCTCGTCTGTTGTGCTGAACCCGCGGCAGCACCCCTGGCGACGAGAAGCGCGATGTGCTCCTTCTCCGCGTCGTACGTCCAGACGTACAAGACATCGCAGCAGCGGTAGCCGCAGTGGCGCCGCTGCCGGGTGTTGGTGCACCACCCAGGGCGATGCCACCAGACGAAGATCCACGTCACCGCCCGCAGCGTTCGGGCGGGCAGCAGCGAGTTCTCCGCGGTTGCGACGGGCAGAGCGTACTTCTGCGTCACAGGTTCAACACGCACGACCACAACAGTCAGCATGTTCCGCCGCGGTTAGCGGTATCATCATCCAGGGCACGGGCAGCAGCAGCAGCAGAAGAAGAACCAGTAGCAGCAGCAGCAGCAGCAGCAGCATTGGAGCGATGGCGACCAGTGCCGGCAGCAGCAGCAGCACTAGCATTTCGGTAGTCGGCGGGACCGTCGCGGAGAGGGCGGAAACGAATAGCCCGTACGAGGATCCCACCGCGGCGGCGCATGGGTTCCTCACCGAGTTCTTGGACATGAGCGAAGAGGTGGGCGGGGGGCATATGATGCCGCAGCAGCAGCAGCAGTTTCGCTACTCGCTGTGAATTGCTTGTTGTATTGTGTGCGGCCTGATTATTAGGTGTATACATCATGACTGCAACATGATGACGGACAGAGCATGTCTGCATGCCTTCAGTAGTCGTGCGTGACCGCTGTTGGACATACGCGTCGTGTGCGAACAACGGTAGCAACGACGCCTTGGCGTGCCGACGAGGGTTTGCATGCAGCAATACATTTACCCACGGCACTGCATGATTGTTTGTGTCTACAGCAGTCGCAACCTGTTGTTGTCCCGTACAGGAGTCCAAGCTTGGGTATTGCCGCATCCATGTATGCCGCCGACGAGTCGCGACGACTGCACGGTGACAAATGGTTGCCTTTGTGCATAATCGTGGGCACCTGGCAGTGCTGTTAGGATAATCGTAGGCTCGAAGCCTTCCCGAACCTAGCTGTCTGCGACGTCTGTTGTGTGTCATCGTAGCACGAAATGGCTGAGAAACATGTTCCGTGAGCGCGTCGGGAGCGCTTGTTTTCTGCTATCTTGCCACCTTCGCCGGTGGATTCACGCAACATCACAAAAGACATGCGACCCATCCCGTGAGAAAGCATCGTGAGACGATATTGGGGACACTCTCCCCCCGACCCTCGCCCCGTAACACACCCTTGACCGCCTGGCCTGAGACAGGAACTCCGACAGCTATCAGCCAAGTACCAGTCGTTACCCCCTGGCCGAAGAGGCCCCGACGAGATCACGGTAGCCGGACCGGAGCTCGCCGCCGCCGCCGCCAAGGCTGCGGACGAGGCAGCAGCCGCCGTTGTCGTCGCATCATCTGCGGGGGCCCCTTCGCCAGGCGGGGAACACGCCGGTGGAGCTGGGGCGGTAGGGGCGGTGAGAGAAGCGGCGGACCAAGCGGCGGCGAGGGCGGCGGGCATCGTGCTTATCCCGGAGACTCCCGCGTTGGCCTCGGTGCTGTACGCTCAGCTGGGCGTGCCGAAGGAGAGGGTGAAGATGTTGCTTCTCAAGTGGCCCAGGCTGTTGGAGGTGAGAGAGGGGTCTTTCGTATCATTGCCAGCCTTCCTTCCACCTCGCCTGAGCAGGAGGGGGGCGTACTCGTGTTTTTCATGTCTTGGGGGTGCGTTTCCGTTAGCCTCGCGGTTGGGGAGGTAGGCGGAATTTCGAGATCGTCGTGTAAAAACATCTTTGTACCTATACAGACGATCGACGTAGTTGAGGTCGAGTCCGTCTGTCTTCCTAGCATGACTATCCGTTTTTGCGAAATGATGCGCACGAGTCGGATCAGTCATTTGTTTCGTTGAGGATGTAGGGTGCGCGAGACTGCGGGGGAATAAAAGAGGGCGGGGGGCGGAGGTTGAGGGGGGAGGAACAACCTTGCCTGGATGCAGCGATGAAATGGTTTTCACGGAACGTTGATGAGTGAAACGGCTCCCCCTTCTGGGGAGCGGGTGCGATGGTGGTAACGGCCGGAACAGAATACGCCTTACCGCGGGAGGAGTTTTGGAAGTGATCGATTTCATCCCAGTAACATGAAAGGAATTCCCTTCTTCAGGGGAATACGTGGAGTACGAGGGAGGATACACAGATCCGCCCCCGCGAGCGCGCCGACAGAATAGGCCAGAACAACAACTGAGGTGTCTTTCTCCAGGAGCAATTCCGTAGTCCCAACCAGCAACAATTTTCGGAATTGTCGCGAGGGAAAAGAACAAAAACACTGCCACATGGGGCGTGTTGGGAAGCGAGGCGTTGTCACCGGTTGAATGATCCCTTTTTTGCTTAAGCTCAAACGAACGCCGACCTCCCTGATGTGCGGATCTGGGTCCAATACGCAATGCCTGTAGAACAATCGCGCAATGAGTGATATTCAGGCAGGCAGGCAGCACAACTCTTGTGTCCCCTGCGTGGCCAGATAGCGGGCAGGGGCACCGCAGAGTTGGTGCGAGGAATGGTGCTCGGCCCCCTTTTGTGAAACGCGTGCTCTTTGCTCGGTGGAAATTTTCCGTTGGAGCTGGTCGGAAAAGAGCTTGGCCCCCTTCACCCCTTACACCCCCCGATTGCCCCGTCTAAAGCGCTTGACTAGTACATTTTCCCTTCCCATTGGGAGGTCAATGGTCTAACGACTACGGCATGCACAGTTATGAGAACCCCCCCCCCCCCCG